GTACATGTGTCCAAGGAGGCCAAGGGCATCAGATATCCTGGAACTAGAGATATTGGTGGTTTACAGCCAGCTGCCTGGTGTGGGCATTGGAAACCCACTCAGGTCCTCTGCAAGAGTAGTATGCAATCCCTCTCCAGCCCTCAAAGCAAGCTATTTCTATACCCCCATTGCCTACAGTTTATGGTTTTAAACAAGACCTCTGTGCAGATTATTTGACTGTGCTCCATCCACAGACACAACTTTATTCAGTCCCACAAGCAACATTAAAGTGTCTTTCTTGTGAGACCTGGCCAATAGGAATCATCTGCATTACACTAAAAATGGCCATAAATTCTTTGTTCCAGCAACAGATAGCAGTCATTTTTTTCACTTTCTGAATCTAGCTCCTTCTGTAAGTTGCTTGGAACACCAAAATGGCCTTGCAACTTCCATGGGATCATGTAAAAGGAAAGGATGCTGGAATAAATGCCACTAAGACAGAGCAGGCTTAGTTATCAGGCTCCACTAGCCCAGGATGCCCTACAACTTGGACGATCCTGAGTACTGTAATGCCAGGCCTGTGCTACCAATGCTCATATTAGACTCATTACAAATACTGGTAGTAAAAGGATAAGATATTAAAACAAAACAGTTCAGATAAAACAATAAAAGCAGTCAGATAAAAGCTCACAAAGCTGACTACCCTGATATACCACCTACTGTTTAAAAAGCATCATCATGAAACTTATTTAAGAAAGGCACACACAGTTCTAAAAATATGCTAAAAAGACCATTTCTGCCTGATGACTGGGCACAGTGGCCTATACTCTGGGAAGCTGAGGCAGGAGGACTGCCACAAGTTCCAAGCCAGCCTGTGATATAGTGAAAGATAAGACTCAGACAGATAAGGAAGATGACATGAATACAAAACATTCACAAATAGGTGCAAAACTAAGATTTTTGTTATTTTTTTCTCATTTACGTGACATCTCAAGCTTTCCTAAAGAATGTAGGGTCTACTCTTAGTTCTCGAGTGACAGGCTGAACACGCTTTGCAGCACTGTGAGTCAAGTGATAGCATATCTGCCTGGAAAAAAATGAGGATTCTTAGTTTAACTGTTCTAGGCTGCATATGACATAACTCAAATGCAGGCCTATGGTTCCAAATGCTGTATAAGAATTTAAGAAAAAAGGGAGTAAATAATCTCTCAACATGACAGCCAGCTACAAGTGAACCAAATAGTGGAACCCATATCCATATTTAATTAGAAAGTAAGTGTATACTCTATAGCACCTTCTTTTCCTGTGTGAAGGAAAAATGACAGGCTTTAAAAAGGGGGGGTGTTTTGGTTTGATTTAGGTTTTTTTTTTTTTTTTTTTTTCCAAGAGAGGATTTCTTTATATATTCCTGGCTGTCCTGGAACTAGCTCTGTAGACCAGGCTGGCCTCAACCTCACAGAAATCAGCCTGCCTCTGCCTCCTGAGTGGCCTCTCAAGTGCTGGGAATAAAGACATGCACCACTACTGCTAAGCTAAAAAGTTTTATTAATTAAAAAAAAAAAACTTAAATCTTAGCTAAACTGAAAACCATGATTAGTGCTTACAGAATGCTGGACAATTCTTATCTACTAGGTTCAAATATTTCCTTTTTTATTTGCTCTTAACTGAACAAATACTATTAATTCCTTAGTTTCACTAGAGTCCTGGACTTTAATTTTCTACGTAGGTCCTAAGATAGTCACAGACTACTTTTATTTCTAGCTTTCTACAAATACTTTTACTTTTTGTCCAATGTTAAAAAACAAGTATTCTTGAAGCCTGAGTTGTATTCTGTTTTGTCTCTAAATAAAAGAACCTTTTAGATTACACATCAACACCACTACAGAAAAAGAACTGCATCATTAAAAGCATTTATTTTGTTCTTCCTCTTACATTAGCAGATACCCATAAAGACAAGAGCACCTAAACTACACTTTAGACTGACTGATGCCACAAGACAAAAAAGTAAAAGCAACATGCTTTTAAAAACTATATAAGATATGCTTAAGAACGGCCCCAATCTTCCACTGTGTAGATGTACCACAATTTCTGTATCCATTAATGGACATCCAGGTTGTTTCCAGATTCTGGCTATTACAAATAAAGCTACTATGAACATAGTTGAGCAAATGTCCTTATTAAATGGTGGGGCATCTTTTGAGTATATGCCCAGGAGTGGTATAGCTGGATCTTAAGGTAGTGCTATTCCCAATTTTCTGAAAAAAGCGCCAGATTGATTTACAAAGTGGTTGTACAAGTTTGTACTCCCCTTTCTCCACATCCTCTCCAGCATGTGTTGTCACCCGAGTTTTTGATCTTAGCCATTCTGACAGGTGTAAGATGGAATCTCAGAGTTGTTTTGATTTGCATTTCCCTGATGACTAAGGATGCTGAGCATTTCTTTAAGTGTTTCTCTGCCATTGGACCACAGAGAAAGAGGATCCAACCAGTTCTGATGAGACTTAACAAGCTATGAGCAGATGGCAATAGTGGAGAACTCCCCCTTTCAGTGGACTAGGGGAACGGGATGAGGAGAAGAGGGAAGGACAGTAAGACCGGGAGAGTTGAGGGAGGGAGATTCAATTGGGATATATAATGAATAAATTGTGAAGAAAAAAAAAAAAACTTGAAAAGAAGAAAAAATAATAGCTCCAGTCAGCTGGGCATGCACACCTTTAGGTCCCAGCACTGAGGAGGTGGAGGCAGATGGACAGCTTTGAGTTCGAAAGTTCCTACTACTAGCTCCTCCACCGCTGTGTTTAGATTGTAAACATCAGCTCAGCCTTGCCCTTTGACAGGAAGATCTTGCCCACTAAGGTGTGAAATGTAAGGATAGCACAAGAATACCACAACCTCTGGATGCTTACCGCTTGACTTTGGCTAAGAAAATGGACACTTTTGTTTCAATTTCTAAGCATAGTAAGTATATTAAGTAATGGATTAAGTATTAAGTAAATGGATTAAGAATTTACTGGTGGAGCTGGAGAGATCGCTCAGAGATTAAGAGCACTGGCTGCTCTTCCAAAGGTCCTGAGTTCAATTCCCAGTAACCACATGATGGCTCACAACCATCTATATAATGAGATCTGGTGCCTTCTTCTGCCATGCAGGCGTACAATTAGGCAGAACACCGTATACATAATAAATAAATCATAAAAAAATAATTTACTGATAACTTAGATTCTACCAATACCATAATACTATGTATATAGATTCTCTTTAAAAAGCTAACAAAATACTGTTTCCTAAATCCTATCAGAAGTGATTCAGAGCAGAAAAAAAAAAAATTAATGAGAAAAAGAACTATTTCCTTTAATCTATAGACAAGGTACAATAAACTTGAAACTATCGTATAGGCAAATGTGCCAACCTTCTGTTGTTGAGGCCTTTAGCACACTAAAAGTGAGAATGAGGATCTATGAGCCCGCTCTGACCGTCACTACTCTCCAGACTTGAACACTGCAGTGATGTTTGAAAATAAAATAGTGTAGATAAAACAACTACAGATTTCACCTTCACTTATTCAACATTAATTAAGCACCTATTCTGTACCAAATACAGAAGGAAAGAATGTGTGGACAGAAAGATAAAAACATGTCTGTCATCCTCAAGAACTCCCTCTACTAAAGGCAGGATTTTACCAAGCCACCTAGAAGCAAGTTAGTTCCTGGTTCGTGTATGCCAGAGTCTGTTCTGAGTGAATGCATCCTTATTTCCTAAATTCCTTACCAAAAACATGACACATGTCTACAGACTAAAACTGCCTCTAAAGGGCACACATAAATAAGTCACTTTGGTCAAATCTACAAATGAAGCCCTTGCTCTGGCCAAGGACTTGCACACACTTCATATTTTAAGCCGAACTGAACATATAGTACAAAGTGAACAGTTCATTACAGAAATGTTGACAGACCTACACCACCAGTGGATGCAATTACAATGCTGCATTTATTGAAAATTAATGAAGTCCGCGATTTTTATTTATAAAGTGGGTATTATTAGTTTTAGATTGGTTTCTGCAAGCCAATAGTCCAAATTGAATAAGATGATGGGTACAGATTGCACTGATCTCTCTTATCCACTTCTTGCAGCCTATGTGCATTTAAACCAAAAACATTTGATATACACTAACTATAAATTATTTCCTTGGAGATCTCTCAGGCATGAAGAAAAAGCCTTTTAAAATAAATTTAAAATATTATATGCTTGATGGTGTATAACCGAAGGTTTAATCTCACCACTAAAGGGGCAGTTACGACGATTTTGCAATAACCCTGCAGACAATAATCAAGACAGCTCCTGTTGTTCTCTCAGTAAAATCTTCGTAAACACAGCATGGATAGACTGTAATTTGATATCTGTAAGATCAACAGCCATACCTCATGACAACTCCTAATATAAGATTTTATTCACCATTAAATTGAGCGTTTTCCTCAGAAGCAATAGAAGAGAAAGCACATTATTTAGCAGGCATTGTCCTATTAACTATAGATTAGCACGTCAAAGCAGACATGCTTTCTTTCTCCCTAAAAAAAAAAAAAAGTACAAGCCATAAAGCAGGCTCTAAAATGCAGATTAATTAGCTTTTTCAAACTTGGGAAAATCTATCTGTGCCCTATTCCCAACATTATTTTTCAAACAGTTGATTTCAATTATTTTCTACTACAAACATTAAGAAATACCCCAAAACAAAGTTAAGTTCAAAAACATGTTTCAGTTTCTACTTCAAAATAAATTAATACTATTCAATTTTTTTAAATGAAAAGGAGGGCTTACAATCGACATAAATGGTGAAAAAACTTTAGAAAACTGGTGTATAACTCAGAAGGGTTAAAGACAATGTAAATTAGTATCAAAGGCATTCAAAATGAAATCACCAGAAATCAATTACTGCTCTTTCACTCTACCCATATACACACATGCACACAACTAAGTGACTTCTTCCATATTCCAGAATTTTAATAAAAGCATCTTTCACTCACCAATGCTGGATTTTCTCTCGGCAGTTAGTGACCACCTGTCATGAAAACAGACAACTACTCATGAAAAAACAAGGCTAGGTACAGAGATAGAAAATCAGCATCAGAAAACTACAATACTGTCTTTATAGATTTACTAACATTTCAGTGTACATTTTTATTTGTCAAGAGGTACAGAGATGGGGATGTTAGTTTTTAAGCAGTGCACTTTATCACAGCCCTCTAACGCAGGCTGATAACTGCAGAACAAATTACAGCTTTCCAATTCAGACTTTTGTACAAAACCTGCTTCATAACTATTAGGTGACATATGATATAAGATAACTAGCATTTTGTACAATCTATAGACCATTTTCAATGTTACATATTTTCTAAACACATAAATACTATAAATAACAAGAATCCAATGTAACATCAACATTTCAGAAGGGGAAAAAATTACAGTAGTGAAAATACTTTATTTTGTCAACATATCTCCAAATGTTTCCACCTGTGATTTTTATTCTGATGTATTAAAATGAATTCATTTTTCTACTATGTTTGGATAAAGAAATACTTGGGATAAAGGGATGCTCTGAACAGCTCATTCCCCCCACTAGTAAATTATGATAAAATTGTATGTACTTCACACCCAGTCTAAGCCATTTATAATACTAAAAGAATGGCATTAAATTTAAAAGTTACTCGTTTTCCCTTAAGATTATTTCAGTAGATTCTCAAATACTAAGAGAACAAAAATGTCTATCAACACAAGAGAAAATGCAATTAGAAAAATTACATGGCTAAATGGAAATTTTAACTTATTATACAACTGATAATCACCTATTTTTCAGTTCCCATCAATTTAAAAAAATGTTAACTACTAATCTAGAGTGTTACAGAACCATTTTAGAGACAGAGAAACTAAGGCACAAAAGGTAGAATACAGAGGCCACATGGGAAGACAGCAGCATGGGCTGGTTGCAGCTCTAGCTTGAGGCTCAGAGCCTACCCTCTTGCATATGCAAAATGCTTCTTACCCCACCCCACCCCACCCCAAAAAATCACACTTTTTTTTTAGAGTTGTCACTAAATTCCTCTATTAGAACATTTAATTCCTAAAATAAATGTCCTCCCTTTTGGACATTTTAAATACTAAGGCAGCAATTCTGAATCAAAATACAAGCTATAATCAGATACCAAGCCATACTGCACATTAATTCAGCATAAAAAGTCCCTACCAAATGAAGATCTGCAGTAAGTATCAATCACACAGCAACACTTAATAACAGTGGCAATCTATAATAGAGCACTGACTTAACATCTGGAAGAGTCCACTAAAGCCACATCAGTCCATCTCACTGTTTCTAATCTGGCAGTAATTATAAAAAAACAAACAGAATTAAATGTAAATTAAAAACGAAAAAACAAATCCTTGAAAAAATGTTTTAAGAAGTTATTTAAGAACCCCATTAAGATGAGACCCAAAATCACTCAGGATGTTTCTAGACCTAGCACAAGTGTTTCCAAGCATGAAGTGAGCCAAAAGCACAGAGAAAAAAAAAAAAAAGTCCTGCAACCGTAAGAGCAGAGTGTTCATTAACCTCTACATGATAATCCTTTCATAGCTGCATATTAACTAGTTACATATTCATAATCATTTACATTATTTAAAGGACCTTCGATGAAATTTTCTAGGCTATATCCATTAGTGATGGTGTTAAAGGTTATGGAAGATAGTCTACTTAATGTTTCCAGGAAGCCTTTTTAATTAGTAAATATGTAAATTTGGCACACATGCTTTTCATGTTTAAAAACAAGCCACTGGTAGCATGGCATGTGTTCTTGCCATCACCCAACTCAGCTCCTCTGCCTGGTCAAGCTTCCCACTCCCCAACCCTTTTCTTTCCTAAAATAGTACTTCTCTAAGCAGACAGAGCAACAACAAAACTCCATTTCATAATGTACAAGTGACATTCTCACTACCAATACTGCTTTTACATGGATAGTCTTTCTGGGTTCCACGTACCATTCAGAATACCAGACACACTGCACAAACATACACATCAGAAGCAGGACCCTAGAAATCAATGTTCAAAGGAGAGAGATATGGAGTAACTAGGCAATGAGTCTCCTGTGGCCAGGCTTAAATGATTTGTAAGCTTCTTTTAAAAATACATGTACGTACATAGTATAATCAAGTTATATTCTGAGATGTTTTTAATTTAATTGCCATCACTTCTTGGCCTTTGGCGAAGATCAAGTGTAATTTACAGGAAAAAAATCCAGATTCAAAGCTAAATGTGCCTGAGTTTTAAAAACTGACTTTTCTGTGAAGTTAATACCAACTTAGTTTCTTCTGCCAGAGAACTCATGCTAATTCTTAAAATATTAAATGAATGATCATAAGATAGGGGTCTGATTTTCTAGAAAAGACTCCAGCATTAAGCAAACAACAAAAGTGTTTTATCACTTTGTTGATCTCCATGAAAATAAAGTCCCTATGGAAGAACTGATGAAAGCTTTGTTTTGTTTTTTAAAGATTAAGTGTCCAAACTTACAAATATTATGCCTAAAAAGTCATTGCAATATTTTTACTTGGCAGGCTTTTATAAAGTAATTAACCTAGGAAATTATTTAATATAATAACTATACATTTATAAATGTTTCCACAGTAATACAGCAGTAAGGCCACACTAAAGAAAAGGGACCCTGATTTGACCCACTGGTTTAAACAGACTATCATTAACAACCCGATGGATACATGATCATCTGTACAATTAGGTACAGACTTAAGATTTATAACAAGACTTCATAGGACAGCCCACTCTAACATTCCAATGACATAGGTAGGCCTTAACCTCTTTCTAAGGAAAGGAAGCCTGCTTTTTTGGTTTGGTTTTCTTGAGACAGGGTTTCTCTATATAGTCTTGGTTGTCCTGGACTCCCTTTGCAGACCAGGCTGGCCTTGAACTCACAGAGATCCACCTGTCCCTACCTCCTGAGTGCTGGGATTAAAGGTGTGAGCCATCACGCCTGGCTAGACGAGGGCATCCTGGAAGAGGGCACGTGAAATCGGCTTTAAACCGTAACTGTCTGACCCCAGGTACACGAGCCCTTAGACAAGCCTGCCTTCAACCTGGAGAGCATAATGGTGGCAAGAAGGTCTGCTGCACCTGCAAGTCACTGCTGCCAGTCCTCATGTCCTCCTCAGCACAACACTCACAAAGGGTCTGTTACAAAGGGTCAAAATTATGCCTGATAAATTTTAAGGCCATTAAAACTATGAAAAGAAAAAAAAAAAAAAACCAGCTAGTTTTCTGCAGAAACTGCTTTTTAAACATTATAAAGGAATGAAGAGAGGGTTTAACATGCTGTGAGTGAGCTCTCCCATGTTTATTTGTGTTTGTGCTATTTATTTTAATAATGGACCACAAGGGGGCATCAACCCATTCAATCTCCAAGTGCTGCACAGCAGCAAGACAAAGTTGGCCTGATAGAGACAAGCTTCAAAGTTATGTGCACTTCTAACCTCTTATCCTTCTCTCAGGAAGGCTTTATTTCACTTCTAAAACTGCTTACACTGCCAGTAACCTTCCTGCTCAGATTACTGTATCAAGAGCAGTTTGGGAGCAGCTCTGTGGGCTGCCTAAATTCATCAGGTCAGCTTCTCTTACTGGACTGGAAGCTTCACAACACACCTTCCCATTAGGTTGCTCAAAGTTACCTCTCTGCACTGGAGCCAGGGGATGCTAACAAGCCTGGTCACCTAAGATCTTCCTAAACAATGAAAAACCTTTTCTAAAATGGCAGGTTGCCAGCTAAAAAAATATCTGGGTATGATTACAACAAAGAACTGTATTAAAAAAAAAAAGTATACTTTCAACAAAATGAGTAAAAATTGTAACTCTTACTAAGCTGGTGTCGCAGCTCACCTGGAACCCCAGCACTTGGAGAGCAGGACCACAGGTTTCTGGGAAGTCTGGGCTAACATAGAAAGACTTTGTCTCTAAAAACAAAATTCAGGCAATTACTCATCTTTTAAACCAAGTCTTTGAAAGGTGTGAGTCAAGATGCAGTAGGCAATGGGGTAATGAGCAATAAACTGAGGGTTGCTACAGTAAAACCAGCACAAAAGAAAGCCAATCCAGGCCTAACTGGAGAGATGGTTCAGCCGCTAGAACTGGCTGCTCTTCCAGAGGATCTGGGTTCAATTCCCAACACCGACACGGCAGTTCACAATCATCTGTAACTCTACTCTGTAATACCCTCATATACAGACATATATGCATGAAAAACAACAATGGAAATAAAATAAAAATAAATAAATCATTTTTAAAAGCCAAGAAAAGAAAGCCAATTCAACTTTAGACAACTTTATAGCTGACATGCACCTAAAGTGAAACTACCAACTCTCTAAATCCAGCACAAATTACAGCACAAGTGCGATCCCCAGGTGCAATCTCCAGCCCAACAATGAAGCCACACACACCTGAAATCCCAACAATGGGAAGAAGAAAATCAGAAGTAAACGGTCATCCTCAGCTATAACTAGTCTTTCATACATAAGACCCTGCATCCAAAAGAGAAAAGAATTTGATACATTTAGAACAAAGTACATATAACCAGTTACTGAAAAAACCCTGTAGATATAACATTTACAATGAAAATTGAGTACTAGGTGGCCCATTGTGTTAATGTGTGGCGATTTCACAGATAACTCTACCCTAACGCTTTGCAGGTTTTGTGACTACAGAGAGGATGAGCTGTACTTCTGGATCTGAGGGCTGCCTGGACAGCTTGCATTCCTAGTGTTTGACTAGGAACATCCATCATTCCCTGTCCACTTACATATCTTCCTCTGGGAACACTACTGTTTCCATTAAGAACATGCTTTTACAGAACTCCTTTTGAGCATATACAACCCCAGAATGGACAGGACCCAAGCCTGCCGTTATCCAAGCCAACTGATCCATTTCAGATGGACCAAGGTAATCAGAAGTAGTAAGGAATGTCATAACGAGAGTCAGCTGGTAGCAAAGTAAATGTGCAAGAAAGC